ATCACACGAGTTAGGGAAGTAGCACTTGAATTCATCTGTAAGTTGCTGTAAGTGGTTGCATATTTTCTGCCATTACAGATAATTTAGGAAAGAAGAAATAACTGCATGCTAAAATTTTACATTTCCATAGTTGCATCTTCTCAGTGAATGCTGTGATTGCATCCCTATAATAAATTATGTTTGAATCTCCACCTTGCAATTTTAAGTTCAATGAGTTCAACCAATCGAAAATATCCAATAAATAAGCAAATCCCACTTGTACCCTTGGCTTTCTGAATTCAAAAAATAATTCACTTTGTTTTTGAGTTTCCAAAAACTGAATTACTTCATCTCGAAGCTCAAACAACCTTGCCAACATATTTCCTTTCGAGAGCCAACGTACTTCACTGTGAAATAACAGTGTCTTATGTTCAGTACCCAAATCTCGACAGAAAGCTGTAAAAAAGTCGAGTATTCAACGCACTACTTTTAACATAATTGACAATTTTAATGCATAATTTTAAGACAATATTGAGTTCCTGTGAAAGTGTCTTAGCCGCCAAAGCTTCACGGTGTACGAAGCAGTGAATAATAATTACATTAGGATTTTGTTGTCTGACCAACTGTACAAATCCAGAGGGAGATCCAAGCATTGCCGGAGCACCGTCTGTACATACTTCAACTTTTGCCATGATAGTTCATATTTGACAAATAATTCAGAAATTGCTGTCATTATATCAATTGCTTTCGAAGTTGTCGTTAACTCTGTAGAAAACAGTAATTCATCTTTGATTGTTTCGTTTTGTATGTATCGAACGAAAACTAGCAGTTGATAACATTGTGCAATATCCGTACTTTCGTCCAACTGTATTGCATAAAATTTTGATTCTTGCATGGCCTCTATTACCTGTTTTTTTATATCTTCAGCCATATCATCAATACGACGTTTCACAGTGTTGTCAGAAAGAGGTATTTGTGAAAATTTTTGTTTACTTTCTGGTCCAAGAACGATATCAGCTGCTTTCAATAGGCAGTATTTGACGAGTGTTTCTCCGACAGTATGACTTTTTTTGCCTTTGCAATGAGTAGCGATAGTTCATATGAAGCTTCAAGTACTCTTCCAGATGATTGCACAAAGGAACCAGTACCATCCAATTTCATGTGTTTCAAATTGTACATTTTGAACAAAAAACTCCTTTGGCTTGTCCTTTACCGCGCTATCGACTTCCTTTGATGATTTACTTATGGTGGAAGGGGAACGATGTGTCGATTTTTTTGTCAACAGATGTCGTTCCAGACGAGACGGTCTCATGGCATCATTGCTCAATACTTCACCTTTTTGTGTAGCAACAAAACCGTGTTTGATATAATCATCATTACTTCAGTCGGCAGATGCCGAAAAGTTACTGTTGGTGACATTTTCTTGATAACTCGGAAATAACTACACAGGAATACTTTAAATGATGAGTACAATAACAGGCTAATTTACTGACAAACTATTTTATCAGGAAAAAAAAATTAACAATTTAATCGTGAAAAAAGGTTTTTTAGTAGTTTTATTTAAATAACTCGGCGGGATGACTTTGTACGAAAAAATGCTTAGGACATGATTTTGTTCGTAATAAAAACAGCTACAAAATGGCGGTGGTCAAATTACGAAATTTGCAATAATGAAGCCGTGAGATTGAAAAAACGGTATAAAACGCCAATTTTTTCAAATTGCTGTAAAAATGTCAATTATAAACAAAAAGTGATAAAACTTTCGAAAACTATAGTTCAATATATATACAATAATGACGCTAAAGCCGAAAATCAGGAGAGCAAAACTTTTTGTTCTATAAGGTGTTATACATTCATCAGCATCTGAAACTCGAAACTTTGCCAAATTTGTTCGAAGCTTTGCTGACACTTGAAATTTGGTACACACATAGTGTAAATATGCAGAAACCAAAAGCAATTTGCAAAATTCAAGTATCTTCATTTTTGCAGTTTTGGTAAGGTTTTATAGGTCACCCTAGTTTTATACGTCACCGTTTTTTTAATCTTTGGACATATATTTATGTATATTTATAAAATATTCCATTACGGTAGATTAGCCAGCATAATTACCTACAATTTAAAAAAAATTAATTTTCATCGTTTAGATCCTAAGCTACTTAACATTTTGTGCCTGTTAGCCGTAGTCAACATATCCAACATAGTCAACATATTCAACATATCAATATAAAACAAAAACGTACGTGTGGGGTAAACCTTTAACTTTAAGTAAACAATTGTTTAAATTTACTCTTGCATATTTCTAGTAGTATACAAGCGCCGAAGAGCGGAGCTCACGCTCGAAAATGAAAACTTAAAGATTTACCGCACACGTACGATTTTGTTTTATGTTAATATGTTGAATAATGTACGACTACGCTAACAGGCGCAAAATGTTAAGTAGCTTAGGATCTAAACAATGAAAATATTTTTGTTTTAAAATTGTAGGTAATTGTGCTGGCTAATCTACCGTAATGGAATATTTTATAAATATACGTCCAAAAATTTAAAAAAAACGGTTACGTATAAACTCTGTATCGACGACTCTGCTTTTGAGAAAGAAACATTTTTGACATTTTTATCTTTAGCTGATTTAAAGATAATTAAAGAACACCATTTAGAAAGTAACAACTTCAACACACTGTATATCGAAAACAGGGCGTTTAAGAAAAAAATGTTACATGAACTACCCCCATTATTTTCCCATGAGGCACTTACACACAAGTTTTTTTAAAACTTGAATGGGACACCCTGTGGTCCGAATTTTATCCAGGAAACTTCAAGGGCAGACAGATCTGTTTAAAATAATAGGTGTTTGCCTTATAAACATAGGTCTGGAACGGCCTCATTTTAGAGATACAGGGTGTTGAAGAACAAAATTTATTTTTTGTTTATATCTCCGAAATCTATTAACCGAACTCAATCAAATTTGGTACAGATAATGTATGACGGTAGGCCTTGCATTCTTTAAAATATGAGCTCTAAAGGTGCAACCAGTGGTTTACAACTGGACAGGGGTCGCCCTCTTTTTATAAAAAAAAACTACGCCACTGTATTGTTTACAAGTTACTGTAACGGATTTATATGCTAATGCACTAAATATGTATAAAACGTAACTCGAATTTTTTCCTTAAGATTCGCTCTTCTCAAGTTATTAATATCAATAAAATCCCTTTGTGGCAGACTCATCAAACCATAATATTATAAGAATATTTATGTTTATTTCCACATCACCTGTGAGGTAGTGTTCTTAGTGTATTTTAATTTCCCCTGGAGACTTAATCCACCATCTTTACAAATAAAAACAATTTAAATCAAAATAATAATAAAAATACATTTGCCATGCAATAATTAAAAACAAAAATCGAAATTAACGTTACGTATTTACAGCAATTGTTTAAAATGCGAACCATCCACATCGATACATTTCTGACAACTTCTATTAATGATTAATGGAATTACCTAACTAATATCATGTGGTGGTTTTCTTTTAATTCATTACACCCATCTTCTATTCGCTGCAGTAGTTGTGGTGTTGTATCTATTGGGAGTAGAGTAAACTTTATTTTTCAGATATGTAGCCCCAAAAATAGAAGTCCAGGGGGTTTAGATCTGGCGATCTGGCTGGCCAAGACACTGGATTCTCTGCACCATTATGGTTGACATTGGCATTTGGTCTTCAACCTATCCATCGCCCCATATAATGTTTAAGCCATTATTGTATTATTCTCCTAAAATGCGCAGGAGCACCATCCATTTGTATCCAGCTATTTTGTGGTATATTTAATGGAACATCCTCTAATAATTCAAATAGATGATTTTCTAGAAAGTTTAGAAATGACTGGGAATTTAGATGGGGTGACAAGAAGAAAGGTCCGAATTATTCCGAGCTACACTCACAGAAAATTTGTGTTGAAAAGATCTTGTCCGAATTTCATGAGGATTTTCTTGTGACCAAATATTGTGAAAATTCACTACCCCTCGCCTTGTGAACGTAGCCTGATTGGTCCAAAGTATTTCTAGTAAGAATTCTGGATTATGTTGTGACTTTAAAACAACCACTAACAAAAATTCAGGTATCTCTACATCTCGGAATAAATTTTGCACATGTTGTAAATGGTACGAATTTCTACCATCCTTATGTAGGACTTTTCAAATTTTCGATTTACTAACCCCAAGTTGCCGAGACGTTCTTCGTGTACTTAGCCGAGGATCGTCGTCAAATGTTCTTAAAATTTAATTTATGTGCCTTTCATTGCGCCGTCGTCATTTTCCAAATATAGTTTTAATCCAAAAAGATGAAAGCGACGAGTGTAAAGAATTTTATTGATATGCTTACAAATTGCACTTACTTTTAAGCATAAACATAAATATTCTTGTAATATTATGGTTAGAAGTATCTGCAACAAGGGAATTGTTTTGGTATTAATAACTTGAGAACGGTGAACTTTAGGGAAAAAATTCAAGTTACCTTTTTTACGTATTTGTACATTAGAATAAAAATACGTTACAATAGCTTGTAAAAAATACAGTGGCGTAGGTTTTTTTTTATAAAAATGGGGGTGACCCTGTCCAGTTGTACACCACTGGTCGATCCTTTAGAGCTCATATTTTAAGGAATGCAAGGCCTACTGTCATCCATTATCTGTACCAAATTTTATTGAAATCGGTTAATAGATTTCATAGATATATTTATATTTTTTTTAACAACTTCAACACCCTGTATCTCTAAAACGAGGCGGTTCCAGACCTATATAAGGCAAACACCTATTATTTTAAAGAGATTTATCTGCCCTCGAAGTTCCCTGCATAAAATTCGGACCACCCTGTATATTGGATGTTTTATATGTTTTTATTATGTGTTACAAAGCCTCTTTTTAAACTAATCTTATGTTAATGTCTTGAAAAAGGAAATAAACATTTCCAAAAGCTGCAACCCTAAAAGATTTTTCTACATAATTATTAAATAATGGTTCTTGTTACAGAGGAAGATTTCCAGAAAATGAATATGCTAATGAATTAAGACAAGTTCAAGCAAGTAAATGGGCCTACCGTAATGTTGCTGATGGTATTGATCACTTTAAAGCTGGAAAACATGTGGAAGCATTTCAGTGTTTGAATAAAGCATTAAATATTGATCCAAAAAATGTCGAAGGTCTTGTAGCAAGAGGTGCTTTATATGCCAATAGTGGAAATTTTCAAAAAGCAATTGAGGATTTTGAAACTGCTTTAAAATTAAATCCTAATCATGCTAATGCTCGTAAGTATATGGGAGAAACTCTTGTAGCTCTTGGACGCAGCTATGAGGAAGAAAATAAAATTGAGGAAGCACGCAAAGCTTATCAAAGCTGTTTAAGTATAATACCTTATCACGAGGAAGCTCAAAATTCATTAGAATTTTTAAAAAATAAGTCGCAGACCTCAAAAAATTTAATTGAACCAGCAGAATTATTGCTTCCAAATTTAACAGTTTCAACAAAGACATCAGATGTTAATGATGCTTTAAAGCAGCTATTAAAGACTGAAGAAGAAGAAAAAAAAGAAAAAAAGAAGAAGAAAAAGTCCAAAAAACGGAAAAATAGAAGACATTCTAGTTCAAGTTCTTCTTCAAGTTCTTCTGGAAGTGGTGAAAGTTCAAGTAGTTCGTCAAGCACTAGTTCTGATTCTAGTTCTTCTTCGGCAGATTCAGATTTTAAAAAAAGGAAGAAGCATCGATCTAGATCTCATAGACGTGAAAAACGAGAAAATTCTTTAAGTCCCTTAAGCAAGCGCATGGCTATGATGGATCAGTCGCAGGATACACCAACGACAAACTACAACTTTAATAAACCAGCAGTACCTTCATTTGACTTTAATTTTGAACAACCTGAAAAAGCCAAGAGTTTAGAGATGGATTATGAGGCAAAAGTTCGAGCTTTCCTTGCAGAAACTAAAGGAGATTCAGACTATGAAGAAAAGGTAAGAAAATTTTTAGAGGAAAGTGCTAAGTGGAAAAAGGGAAAAACTGAAGAAAAAAAGAAAAAGAAAAAGAAAGAGAAAAAAAACAAAAAAGAGAGTAAAAAAAGAAAGAAGAAAGATAAGCTTAAACGTAAAAGTGGTTTCGAACTGAATGAATTGGATGATCATAAAAAATTACGTGATGCAATAAAGAAGGAATTGAATAAAGAGAAGAAATCCAAGCGACACAATATTCCTTCTGACGATGAGGAATACTTCTTACAGAAATCTGGATACAGCAAAAGGTACATACGTTTATCATGTTTTTATTTTATTTATTTTATCATAATTTCTTAGTTGGTTTATCTTGGATATCAAAAGATGTTTTTGCCAAAAAAAAAAAAAATAGTTGCAGAAATCAGTAAAAGAAATCATATTCTAGGGATATTACCTTGAGTTTCGTAGATTAGGATCTCTTTGAAAAAGTTTATCTCATCTTGCATGCATTAGTAAAACAGGGATATCTTTATAATCGTAAAATCCTTTTAGAATTTTATTGTTACATAATAATTATTTTTATGTTGGTATTTTGCCACAGTAATATATAAATTTATTTTTACCTAACCAGAAATTACAAAATGAAAATGGAAATGAACATGCCGAAATCAAAATTTACAATCCCAATATTTTTCATTTGAATTATACTACTTACTCCCAAATAAGTTGACATTATAGTAATATCGAAATGAAAAGTCAAGTCTAGAAAAAATGTTGGGATTACACTCAAATCTAAGTCAAGATGAAAAGTATAGATGGCGCACTTACCGGTCATTAAAGGCAACTTTGTGTGTACTTATGGTACAATTTACATTTCTATTTTTCTATTTGCTTTTTGCCTAGATCTGTCAATTTCAACCTCCTTTATTTTTTTAATGGACAAAAATTGCGGAAGTGTAAACTGTCAACGACAGTGACATCAGCAAAAATTAAATAAAAAACTAGTGTTGGCAAATGTCCGAACATTTTAGAATTGGACAAATGTCCAGACAGTTAGACACTTATACAGCCATTTAAGGAAATAAAATGTAACTTTAATATACAGCACATGTTATTAACTTCAAGATGATACCAAATATGTACTTATATTTTCTTAGAATATATTCTCTGAAATACAAGAACTAGATTAAAAATTAATATTTTCGTAACAGTTTAAATTTCTATTGTGTACCCACATGTGAAATGAAATGAAATGAAATAAATAAATTATAGAAAAAAGAGAACTAAATAAAATAAATTTTTATTTGGATTAACAAGTACAGCATATAACATATATGTACCTATATGACACATAGCAAATACAGTCAAAGGTCCTTATTCACGGTTCCCGTATACGTGGAACTTTATGCTTTCTTCATAAAAATTGATCCGTCTATAGAAAGAAGTCTTATTTTAAGGAGGTTCGATACATCTCTTGCGGGGGCAGGCGGTGCGAGAGGGAAGCCTATGCTTATACAGGGTAGTTTCGTTGTAGTACCAACCTTACATAAACTAATTGGAGCGAACTAAATATAATATATATGAATGAAATTTATACAACACATATTAGCTTGCATATATTTTTCGTGTTTAATGCACGGCAATTAACTTTTTATTTGAATAAGTGTCTTACTTATTCATTAAGAGCTTGTAAAATTATGGATGAAATCTGGCAACATTGCCATTGCCATGGCTTGGTGGTAAAAGTTGGGTCAACTGTCATTACTGTCAACTGCTTTGCACGTATTCCGTAAACATGAATAAACATCCAAGATACAAAGGAAAAGTAATGACTGAAAAGCAATATAAAATGCGTATGAAATAGAATGTGGATTGATGAGAAAAAAGTAAAATGTGCAAACCGAGAATCCATATGATAACTATCAGTGTGTGATAGTGATATGTCGCCTTGTCAAATTGAAGATTGTGACAGAACATCTATACTGTTCGTTTTGCAAAGAAATCCTTTAAAATTTTGTTTCAAATTGCTATTATATTGCAGTAGATCACGAAAAATATATTTAATATTAATTATTACTACATATGTTTTCGACTGGAATAATTATACAGGCTGTTACAAATTCGCTTCTCACTACAGGGACTTCGGAAACGGTAAGAGCTACAAAGTAGCTTAAATGGGGACAAAGTTGCGTAATCAGGGGACCAACATTATGCCTCTAAAAAATCAAAGCTAACATGATTAGTTTTCGAAATATTTGAAAAAAAAAACGAAATTTTGGAAATTCGTTTTTGTTTCATTTTAGCCTTGTTCGAGATGATTAGTCCAACCAAATTACACTTGGAGAAAAAAAAAAATGTTACCTGGACTTTTATAAGTGGAAATGGTAAAAGGGCTTATAATAAACCTAAAAAGAATAAACGCGTGAGCAGGGGTGGTGGAGGGTTGATTCGGGGGGTTGAAAAGTTGTGAAAAATTGTATCATTGGGATTTCTGGTGAAAATTGACGTCAAACAAAAAAGTATCAAATACAAAAGTTGTAGATTATACAAAAATTTGCAACTTTTGTAGACGTCACTTTTTAAGATAATCCCAAAATTTCCGAGAATAATGCGAAAAACAGCTTTTTTCTGATTTTTTATTTTTCATTCCCATTTCCGCAAAAATAATTTTTAATTTTAACAAAACTTGGTGAAAGTATACCTTTCTGTGTCTTACATAACCACAATTTTTTTAGATAAAAAAAAATCAAGGAGTTTTCGATATATTAATTCCGGTCTGAAACACTTCAAATAAAAATTCTACTTAAAAAAATCATCGTACACAGTTCTGCCGGTAATCATTTTTTTCGTTTTGACAAAAAAATCTGTAATCACAGTTCAAAAACATGCTCAAAAATGCAAAGAAATAAAACATGACTTGCAACAATAAATTTTCCAGGAATTGTTGATAATTTGTTTAAATTAAAAAACATTCAAAAGCTGATTACACCATTCATTTCTACGGAAAAATATAAAAAAAATTGTCTCATTGTTTGACCAAAAACTTTTTTGTACAATATTGCTATAAACATCCAAGTCGAATTACAAATGCACAAATGATAAATTATCTCTGGATGATTTGAGATTTCAGCAATACAAAGTATCAACTGCAAAGTCTACTGTTAACGCGAAACCCGAAGTTTTGCAAAATCGTAATATTTTTTTTCTGGCTTTATTTGAAAACGAATTTTAAAATAAATTGCATATTTACATTGCCACTTTTTTCGCTTTATCCAATGCCGTCAACATTTTTGCAATCGGACATTGGGTACCTTTACACTTACGCTCAATAGTGACCGACTGGAGCGTCCCGTTCCAATCGCTCACGATGTGACATGATAACACGGCTAGTGTAAATTGAAAAGTGTCAAGTTTCTCGCGCGATAGTCGTGGCTCGTGGAGTGTTAAAAATTTCAACAGTTTTATAGACGGTTTGTTCTGAAATGGAGCAAATTATAAACAAAAAAAGAAAATTAAAAGTGGCTTTTTTTTCTTTAGATTTAATCTTCCATAAACATGGATAGGATTTATATAGTTCAATAAAATTTGTAATTGTTTCTTTTGACCAATATCGTGCATCTGCCATAGTCTATAAAAAAAATACAAAAACGCTTACAAATATGCGAATCCTAGGTAGCTATGTTTATATTAAAAAATTTAAAAAAGTACTTATCACCTTTTAAGAGTAAACTCCACAAGATCGCGTGAAAATCGAAAGAATCTTTACCCTACGTGAAATTTCCGCATGAAAACAACTGGCGAAGTAATGCAGGATTTGACACGTCTAAGAACCGCGCGATTATATACATTTACACTAACAAGCTTTCGCGTGTGATCGGAGTGGGGCGCTCCAGTCGCTCACGATTGAGCGTACCTTGTAAAGTTACCTATTTCGTCTTCGAGGTGCCTACATCAGATTAATTTTAATTAATGTGGCTGCTATTTTTATGACAAAATCTAGTCATTTTTAATTCTGAATTAGATATTACTATTGTAGGTTTTTAGCTATCATTTAAAATTTTTCCTGAGTCCGGCTCCGAACGCTTTCAAAATATATATTGGATTAAGTCATAACAGTATAAAAGTCAATTTAGCACAAAATATTCTACAATTTTTATCCATAATTTAAATAATTCCGTAATTAAGTTGTACCTAATAAAAAAATAATACAAATTTATAATAGCTAAAACAAGCTAAAAACTTTTTAAGCGATTACAATAGTAATATCGTCTAATTCAGAATTAAAAATGACTAGATTTTGTCATAAAAATAGCAGCGACGTAATTAAAAAAATAACCCGATGATGGCCCCTCGAAGACGAAACATCGGATAGTAAAAATGTTGACGCCATTGTATAGAGCGAAAAAAGTAGCATTGTAAATATGCAATTTATTTTAAAATTCGTTTTCAAATAGCCAGAAAAAATTAAGACAATTTTGCAAAATTTAGGTTTTTTCCGGATATCTTCGGAACACAGTATACTAATCAATCAGTATGGAATCTTAAATGATTTATGAATGAATTCCGTATGGCAATTTTTAAATACCCCCAACCTAGGAAAAGTCGCTAAGAATTACGAAAATTGTGGCTGAGTGTGCGAGAGAGACAGACAGTACCTCAGTACATGCTGTGTCACTCTAGCACGCCGCGATTGGTTGGAAATGAATGCTCCAACCAATCGCGGCGTGCTAGAGTGAGACAGCATATCTGAGATACTGTCTGTCTCTCAGCCACAGTTTTCGCAATGGCATGCTACCTCCAGTAGTATAGTAAACATAACCTGTTCTTTTTCCTGGTTTTAATACTTTTAATTATTATACATTAATTTCTGATTAATTATTGTAACCCAAGGTAATAAAGAGATTGTTAGCTATGTAGTAGTGTTACACGTAAATTGAGGTTTTTTTTATTAAGAGAAGTTTACATTTTTTGGTTAAATACAGGTTTAGTTATTTGAATTCCAGCAGAAATAATTTAGATTAGATTATATCGGTCTGAAATTTATAAATTTTGCTCAAAAACTTACGAAAGCGTATTTATTTTCTAAACATTTTAAAATGTAAGTACTATAATTTTTATTTCATTATTAACTATTTACTGGGTAAGTATAGCACTACTTATAAATAAATAATCACTAATAAAATACACAAGAACAAGATAACTAAACTAAACAACTACTCGACATCATAAAATAAGGTTTTTAATACATAAAGTTGAGATATAAGAAGGTATAAGTGAGGTTAGGTAATAACTGTCAGTCGCTAACAAA